CCCTAAATGTGTATAGCCACAATGCTTTCGGTAAAGTACTTTATTGTTTGTTGGTCCAGAACGGATTTCGCAATCCTACGCATTATTTTTCAATAGCTATTTGACTACAATCTGCGCCGGCACTAGTCACAGTATAAAAAGCTTACGTCGCCTAAAATGTATACAGTCTCTAGGTTTTTTTATGGTAAAAACTGACACTAGTAGAGAGTAATAGATAGGGAGGGATTATGTAAAAATAACGGTATACCAGCTTTAATATTACGCCAGTAACTCAGTGTAATTAAACTACGGCGAAATTAAAATCTGCCGTGACGTAGCGATTTTTAATGCAAAACAATGGCCATTATGGTTGCAACGGCCGCAAGGACTCCCATCTGACGGCAATCAAACCGCGCCATATTACAACAGTCACCCTCGAGAATTAATCTGCTATGTAGACGATAATGAACTATGTTTCGGGTCATTTGCGTCGATATTTCGCGACCGTACGCTCTGGAATCATTGCTCTGCGCAAATTTGCCCGCGGTCCGTATAATTTTCATCCATTATCGATTGCAACTTGGAATGGAAATGTTGCTGTGTGATTAGACAGTGCATTTAATTTAGAATCAAAATGGCGTAGATTGATTATCGTAGTAATTTGTAAATAGTGGAAATATGTATAGAAGGTTCTAATATACATTTAAAATACGTCAAAATGTACATTTAGGCTTCGGAACGACGAGTCGGTACGCAAAATACAATTTTATGATTAGCGAAAGATGGATACTGTGAAGGGCGCAACTCAAAATCAGCCGGAAAGGTATTTTAAAAATACTGTACAGTTTAGGAAATGAGCGCATAACCACATGAAATAGGCAAGACTCATAGGTCACTCATCTCCAATAATTTAGCAGGTTCTAGAAGCAATATCTACTTCAAGGACATTTGCATATTCATAATAGCTTAGAGAAATCTCCTCATTGTTAAAAATCCTTGTTTTTCACTAAATCAGAAGGGGTGAAAATAAATCAACTTGTTTTGAAACGTCAATTTTCTCGAGAAAGAAAAAATTGGCACGAACTTTTCTGTCTCGAAATTTGAGAGAAAACTCTTTAATGGAATACCGCTTAGCGAGTCAACCCGAAATGTTAGCGACAGTCTGCCATTTGTCACATTTTCTAATCTAGGTTTTGTCTTCAAATATCTTTTCGTAAAACATCTTATAAGTTACTAGCTTTCACCCGAGAGTCTATCCGCGTCAAATAAAAAAAATTAAGTAGCCTATGTTTTTTTTCCGGATTATGCTCTACATATGTGCCAAGCTTCATCGAGATCCGTCTAGGCTTTCTAACAAACATCCATCCATCGAAAAGTTTCTCATTTATAACATTAGTGAATTCCTACCGAGTAAATGACAATACAAATTGTGAAATGCTACATACAAAAAAAAACATTACAAAATTCGACATTTTTAGTAGCAGTAACATTATTCATATACTTAATTAAATATTTACCTTAAAATTACAACTTAGTTCAATTTAAACCAGAAATATTCGAATTTAATAACGTGCAAATTAAACTAGCTATAACTTTTACGTAATTTTCAACATGTTAACGCAAACATTTCTGCGTAGTGTGGTACAAACACAACGTTAAATCATTTTAGATTTACTCGCTGCTTGAAATACTGCAAATGCAAATCAACAAAATCTATTAGGATAAAGGAGGCAACAAACTTTGATGCAGTTTTTTAATAGATAGAGTTATTCAACAGAAAGGTAATGTTACTTATCTTATTAATATTATAAGTGTTAGACTTTGTACACAAAATGGTTAAACGGATTTCGATTAAATTTGCTAAAGGCATAGAGAACAGTCCTGAAGAACATACAGGATACTCACTATTGTATTTTATTTCCACGCGAATCGCGGGCGAAAGCTAGTGTATACTACAGTAGAGAATTACTGATAATTTAAGAAGTTTCTAATGTGATGAAAATAAACACATTTTCATATCAGTATTGGATACGAGTGAAGCCGGGTCGCTAGTTATAGTATAAATCAAAAATGCCACAACGATATAAGAACAAACCAGTGATAAATTTCCATGTAACTTGCACCACGGCATCGCACGTGCGTCCTGCGCACAAAATACTACCTCTCTATTTGCGAACACTAAATTTAGAACGAATTTTCGTAAAATCGTATTCCGCAGCAAAAGTTTTACCGCATTTCAGAAAACGTCACATTACGATTTATTAAAAATACTTTTTTACACTGGATGTATGTACATTCTGCTTTTAATTTATATTATAGGATTGGTACTGAATAGTTCAGATTTTTTGTGACTGATTTGTGACTGTCTTGAAGAGGAACGCTTCAGGGGATTTGAGGTGGCCGAGCGCAGATGGCGCTTAGCCTAAACATCTTTTAACTAAGTTCGAGGGTTCCCTCAGGAGCTTCAGCTTCGGGCCGATACTTCTTTGTTTTTACCTGATTGGGGAAATGGTTTAGAAATTCATTGTTCTTTTATGAACGTGTGTTACTGCGATCAATTCACATTTTTATTCTATATGTCCGAATTTACTCTGATTGTTGACGATAATTAGTTAACTGTAGAAACCTATATATTTCAATTATTCTTCGTCGTCAGGTCATATGACCCAACCAAGGGACTCGGAGCTAACTCTTAGATAAAGTTTCTATGTCATAGTCAACGACGCTGGCTCAATGCGGGTTGATTTCAAACATATCCTGGAATTTCTGGAGATATGTGCAGGTTGCATCATCACGTTTAAAGAACGTCTAATAAATGTACATATGGAATTCGAAAATCACATTTATACGTAGGGTTTGAGTCCAGATGTATGATTTTAATGATTTTATAGTATTATTGACGAACAATGTTATCTCTTATTTACATTTATTATTAAATAATGTTGTAAATATTTGTGTTTTAAGTTTAAAGAGGTAAGCAAAGTTAAAAATATATAGTTAGGTTCATATTTTCGCTTCAAGAAATTTTAAAGTAAGCTCATTATTTCAGTTAGAGCAAGAAACGGCCATTTCTCTGCGTCTATCCAGCGTGAATTTTTATTCGAATGCACAGACAGTTTGGAATAACATTTTATAAGAAATTTTCCATCCGATATTCATTGAATTGTTTCGATTTTCATACGATTGGTTTATAGAAAAACTTTTAAATGGAAATTTTATATGATTGGCGCGAATTCATTTGTTGGCGATGACCAGTGATTTATGGCTTTCTGTATTTTTATCTACATATATCTGTACTAATAGTATAAAGAGGAAAGATTTGTATCGTTGACATAGACTATTTTTTTTATTATTTTTAATTTCACGCAGGCGAAGTCATACGCAACAGCTAGCAGTGAATATTTTACAAAAACAAATGAAACAAATGTGTGATAAATCTTAAATTAAATCGGGTCTTAACTTAAAGGTATCAGATCTTAACTTGCTTAAAGGACCACATTTTTTTAAAGAAAACTCTATGAAAATTGACATGATAGTAAGCTAGGCTTACACATATCGCTGTTGTGTTTGTTTTCTATGCAAACAGTGAAACATCCCATCTCGGACATACATTAAACATCACCTTTGCTTAGCCGGTCGGAATATTCAGAGTCGACAAACAGGCATACGAAGCCAGAGGTAGCAAATATTTGAGTGATTGCCTACATATACAAAGCAACGGATTTTGCGAATTGTAGCCGCTATTCATGTTTAGTTATTGATGAGGTCTGAGTGAATCGGAATGTATCACGTAATACGCGTGCCAATAACGCTTGTATTGAAGTCTTCTATTCAATATTTTGATATACATAAAGATCTGCATAAACATTTATAAAATTTATTTGGAAATTTCATGACCATTCGATTGCAGTAAAGTGATGAAAATTGGTTATATGGTTAAAATCTTGATACAAATATTTTAGACATTTCCACTTAGAGAAATATTTTTTTAAAAAATAGTTAAGGTAACTATAACAGTTTTTGTTCAAATACATTTTGTAGCAAAATGTACATTTACTCACTTTCTACCTTAATTATGTTGATTTAAAATGGTTTTTCAAATATATTTATTCACTTGCACTGAAGCTGGGGTTCGCCCGAAACTTCTCTAGAAAGCTCGCGGCAAGTCAGTTGCAGTAAATATTTGAATTGTAGAGTGGGATTGGTTTGCTTTCTAGCTATTCAAAGGAGCTGTTTACATCGAAATATAAAAATTCTTAGCCGCGGTCTTCGGAGCAGTTTTCTTGTTTCACTTTGACTCTGAATTCCTTTCATAGTTTAATATCACGTTTGTGACGGTAGTGAATTTGATCTCAGCGTGAGGCATAATAAAATTTTATTTAGGATAGTTGGGAGTAAACTACAAGAAATGTCAACTTGATATGATGTATTTTTCTTCAAATCCTTTGAGATGCGTCAAGTGGCATTTGTTTAAGAAACTACATTTTAATACTAAGGAGAAGTAAAAAAACAATTAACGCTATATAAGTGTTGTTGTCGCTTTGTCTTCCATACTAATATTATAAAGAGGAAAGATTTGTATTATTTTAGTATTTTTGTATGTATTTAAATAACTCAAAAACTACTTTACCGATTTCAAAAACTCTTGCGATATTAAACATATAATTAACTGGTTTTCGCCCGCGACTCCGTCCGCGTAGAACCAAACAATAATGAGTATCCTATGTGTTCTTCCAGACTATAATCTACATCAATGTCGAATTTCAACGAAATCCATTCAGCCGTTTAGGCCACAAACTCTAACAAACATCAATGCATCTAAACTTTCGCATTAATAACATTAGTATGATAATTTGACTATTTTTTTAATTACACGCGGGCACTCGCGAGAAACAGCTAGTACAAATTAAACACAAAGCCATACATTGCAGATGTCTAGTTTACCGTCCAATTTCTCGTTACCCTTAACGCTGTAAAAAAAGTGAAAAAAGCCAGATTTGTGAAGAGAAACTTGAAGATACCTGATGCTCTGTCCCTGGTGCCGAGGACGGAGGCGATCTGCGGGCGCTCCTCGTTGATGACGAGGTCAGCGCGCTCGCTGTACACGGCGTGCACGCTGGACACGCAGGTGAGGCGCAGCTGGCCGCGCTCGAAGCTGTCCGCGCGCACCATGAACGACAGCTGGCTCACTGACGCCACCTGCGACACGTAACTTACCGTCAGCCTCCTCCTTTACTGTGCTAGATGCATTAGTGGAAAGCCATTACAGTTGTTGTATTCGCTTTTATAAAAAAGTCCATTATTATCAGACTTTGTAACCTCTATCCTCAAAAGACGTATTTGAATAAATGCTATTTTATTTACTCCTATGTAAAGTATCGTAACTTTGATACTCAAATTTTGCTTAAAAAACCTTTGAACACCAATACAATTAAAGTGAACGATAGAAGATAAAATCTATAGATAAACTTATTTATAATGATACTTTTAATTTAACATATATAAGTTAATTAAGTTAGTTAAAAAACGTAAAATTGTCACACGTAGAAATCATCCAATTACCCATGCATGATTTTCAATATTTTTTTGATTCATAACATAGTTGTATGTAAGTACATCAATTATTATAATAGTATAGGCTAGTTTAATAATATGGAATACCTTTTTTGATGATTCCACAGTGGGCATAGGATCTGTGACATCTTCTTCTATCGTGCCGTCTGTTAGACGAGGTTTTGGAAACACCACTGTGTCTTGACTTGGCAATAATTCTCCTTCCTAAACGATAACGATATTTTATTTAAAAAGAAATCATTGGAATATTAAATCCCTAATTTAAACACAGAATAAGAATTTGAAACTGTTTGTTCTTGAAGCAAAGAGATTCAAAAATATAGAGGAAACATAGTTGACATTTCACTCAATACATTTTATCTATCTGTTCAAAGGGACCTTTCAACTCAAAAACACATGTCAACGTAATTAATTTCTATTGAAATTAATTGCCAATAGATGTCGTGAAATAATATTTAAATGTTTGTTTTATTTTGTGCCACTTTTAGTATATTTTATAACAAAAGATGGAGCTTATTATAATTTTGTAAATTGTTAATACAAGGACATGAAGTGAAATTGACATCTAACATACCTTTTAAAGAGGATTATTCACAACCGTCACGTGAGAATAAAGCGCTTCATCCGTCCCACCTTTTTATCCCACTATCACCAATAAGATGACAGATGGAACGGTTAAGAAATAAAATAAGTTCCAACCGTCCTCACATCGCAAAAGGTGGGACGGATGAAACTTTTTATTCTCATCTCTTCCTACGTGGAGACAGAGCGGGGTGACGGTTGGGAATAATTCTTTAAAGAAGTTACCAGTGAAAATTAAACACTGTCTCGTGTATATACTTCTTAATCTTTGTCTTGAAGTAATAATTGAATTGATTGAAATGCAACTAAATCATGACAATTATTAGTGTTAGAATCACACCCCATTTATTTCCGTATAAATAGAACTCCACCTAAGTGATGGATACGTTCCAAAATTGAGATGATGGAGGATGTAGACATCGCCGGAATATCATTTATCAATGTCTTAGCAATTAGCGTACAAGCCAATTGTTAAAGAAAATAATTTTGCTTACAGATTTTTTCTTTAGTTATTACTAGCTTTCGCCCTCGACTTCGTCCGCGTTAAAAAAAATATCAAAAGTAAGTAGTCTATGTGTTCTTCCAGACTATCCTCTACATCTATACCAAATTTCATTGAAATGTGTTCAGCCGTTTAGGCTACAAACTTTTACAAACATCCATCCATCCATCCATCCAAACATTCGCATTTATAATATTAGTGTGATAACTTTTCTTTACGTTGATTTGTTAGATGATGAAATGTCTTGTTTTCTTATTTAAATTTCATAATAATTTCAATTAAGATTTAATCTTTTTTTATTGTTTTTTTTTTGTAAAATTATATAAGAATTTTATTATATATAATTCTTGACTCCATTTAAATCTCATCTTTCGGTAAATATTAACTTTATTAGGTTAAAAGTTTATTTTTAAGTCATAATATTTAGGTTTTTACAAATTTAGTAATAACTTAGGGAGAGAAAAGGATAAACTAAATTGATTTAACTTTGTGGAATCAAAAAATGTCTTATACAGTATTAGTTATTTATAGGTTTCCACTAAGGGACTCAGAGTCTACCCTAAGTGTATCATAATCATATACCTGTATTGTATCAACAAAGGGTCCAAATGTCTTCCAAGGTCTGAATATAATGTTGCTATTTTCATCACCAGGTGGCGTCGTGCTCTGGTCTGGTATGTGAGGGGCGTCTATCGCTACAGCCGGACTTGGAAGTATCCTTTGCTGAATGATAGGTTTGCCTTGGATCTGCAAAGAAAATAGCTATTCTAAAATAATTAAATTTAAAAATATTCATCTAATAAAATATAACAGATTATTGTGCATATTTATATAAATAAATTTGGTTTTACCTAGTAATGAGTAAAACAACTTCAATATCCGAAATAAAAATTACTTAAGTAGGTTTTTTTAATGAAAATTACAAATATAGTAACAATTTTTTTTTCACCGTAGATGAAATTGCTTCAGTCAAGATATACATTTAAATTATTAACGCATTTCGCGAGGTTAATGACAATAGAAGTGAAAAGAATAAAATAGAATTAGCAACACAAAGAGCCCGAAGCGGACACGACTTGAATAAATTTTTCATACATGACTTTTATCTCGCCTTTGGGCTACTATTTTAATGTCGAATGGTATTTCACATTACGATATAAAAATTCTCAAATAGAATTATTAGAATACCAAAGAAAATGAAATTATCTAAAAACGTTTTTTTTTTAAATAACACAAGGTGGCAAACGAGCAAGCGGCCACCTGAATCCGCCAAAATGGCGAAGCGACCGCTGCCCATAGACATCCGCAATTGTAGATGCGTTGCCTACCCTTATCCGACGGAGAAGATGCACATAAAGAGGATATTTCGCCTTCCTATGCATCTCCTGGAGAAGACGGTGGACCGTCAAATCCACTTCCAGTTGCCATCCTCTCCTTTAAGAAAAGGGTGGCAAAGAGAAAGGGACTTAAATTAGGCCTCCGGCACCACACTCATCAGACGAAACACGGAATTGCTTCCATTTCACGCCTGTCTTCTGTGTAGTCGTGGTATTGCGTCGGGCGTGCCGGCCTATTCGTGCTAAGATGTTAAAGCCGGCACTACCACTGTTAAATGTTGTTCAAATGTAATAAAAATTAATATCCGCTCCACTTCAATAAAATAAGAAATTAGTTATACATTATTTTTCAGTGCCAAATTACATAAAACAATGTAAACAAATCTGATTTATACAATCAAATGAGTAAATATAAAATCACAATCATTCGTTCAAATACTTGGCCATATTACAAGCAAGGATTTCATCTTAACAATATTCGAACCGAGAAAATAAATGAGGGCAAAGAATTTAATACCAACAATGTAAGTGCATTAAAAAGCCGGCAGACAAGCGAGACATCACCGTGGCTGAACAAGAGATGCAGTTAAATGTGAACATCAAACTATCTTTAGTGAATTCGTTGTTATTTTCTTCTGTTTGTTTGCTAACATACTGAAGCATTATAATAATGCTGACAGTTTTCATTGATTAGATTTTTATTATTCTAACTAGTTATTCCCATGCAGCTTTATCTGCACGAGTTAAAAACTCTTCTATTTGTTACATTCCATTCAATGCAATTCAAATGACAACGAAGGCGATTGGCTAACAATAACAATTACCATGGCAATCGTACTTCTTTGCTGTTATTGGATTGTTAGTTTTGTCCCTTTCTTGCATGACTTTTTTCCAATTGATTTACCCTTAAGATTAATAGCGTGAAAACATACATTCTGTAGCGTGTCGTAATTGTATGGCTTTTTATTAAAAAATTATTATTGAAAATTATACCGTAATTGTTGACAGCCTACATAAAAAAGTGTGTCTTAACGCTTTATAGTATAGGGAAGAAGAAGAATAAGAGAATAGAGGAGAAGATAGAAGATAGAAGATAGTTTTTTTTACTATAGCTATATAAAAGCAGTACTAATGTTAAATTTTTATACGCATTTAGGATGCGCAATGCATGCCCCAAAAGGGTTCCACGCACCGTCTTTTCTTCTATCAAATAATGTGTTAATAAGTAAATCAACTGAACTTTGGGTTCAACATTAAGGAGTGTAAGAAATCTCGGCAAGAACTTTCTTATCATCAACTAGCACCCTTTCACAAAGTTCGCAAGACAAATAAAAGTTTCCTGTTGGAAATGGTTCACTCCGCTTTGTTCTATTGTAGCGGCAGAGAATTCTTTAATTTGAAAAGGGTGTTTACTGGAGTTGTTAAGTGCGTTTAAGGCACTTGTATTCAAATTTGTCAAAGTAACTACTGTTTGGTTAATTCGAAAACAAACATTTACGTCATCCTTTTTTCGATACTTTTTTCTATCCTTTTTTGTCACAAAATATAACAGTCCGAAATATGGTGGCATGCTTTTTTGCACGTAATTCAGAATCAAAGATAAGGATTCCCATGACTTTTGAATCAATTATGTCCAACGTTCTTTCCATCATCTCTTAAATGATGAAAGGTATGAAGAACACGCCACGCTTTTAAGAATATTAAACAGAAATAGATTTTGTTCTTAATTAAATGCTTCTATTTAAACGCAGAATAAATGCAGGAATCAACGTAATCCTCTCACTTTAAGCATTGATCCTACTTGGCTGACTCTAAATAATTCACAGTGATTTCGCTAAGCGATGAAATCGACCCGAAACGTTTCGGTTGAATGCGTCTTAATTGTTCTATTCATTTATTCGTAATACTGTTTAATATCTTGTTCTATGATTGCATGCTTCTATAACTGTAAGTTTCACCTAATAACAATATTGAAGAGTATTTCACTTCGTATTTCCTGTAAACGTTTTTCCTGTAAACGTTTTTTTATAAGCTGATATTTGTAGTTATTTAGTCTTTTAGATTACTCTACCCTTATCCAGGTATTTTTCGTAGATATGTCGATAAATCTCATCAAGCTATCGACTAAATGATATTAGTCTGCTAGTGTCAGGAGCGATGAAAGCTCTCTATCATTCCGACTTGTCGTCGATGTAAACCGATCCAGTAAACTTGCTATCAAGTCATGTTCGTGTTCATCACTGTCAACAGAATTGATAGCAACGTCGTCCGACTTAAAGTGAAACAATTATTCTGGTTTGACGTTGCAGTGAATTTTCTATTCCAATTTCTTTGTGATATCCATAAAAGTAAAAACATAATACAGTCATAAAGTCAAGTGAGTAAAAGGAATGTCAAAAACCTTGCTCAGACTGCATTCGCCATTTTCTGCATTTCTAGACGTAATCCAACAAACATAAAAAGCGCCGAGAGCGAAATGGTAAAATTGTTTTGACTTCTAAATGTGAAAGAATTTCATTTGAATAATGTTTTAAAACATAACAGAGCGATGTTCACGAGGTCCTCGACAGTAGAACAGAAAAGAATAAAATGAAATTAGGAACACAAAGATTATGAAGCGGACGCAACTTGAATAAATTTCTCATCTCTGACTTTTAACCTCCATTATACGAGTTACGATTTATCTACAAGCTTGTACGTTATAAAATATTGTAGTGAATTTGGAAAGGGCCCTGAAGCATTGAGATTCATTTATATGTTAAAAATGTTGAATAAAAAATAAAAAAAAAACATTTTTGTTCTGTACTGTCTGATGACACTAACAAGAGATGTTCTAATTTTTAAAAGACTTTATAAAAGATTATTATAAAATCTTTTAACGCAAGTACAGAAATGAAAATTGTATCTGAAAAATTGTTAATCTAAAACTAAATTCGGGTACTCGATATTTTCACAAAACATCCTCTTAAGTTTTTGTCGGTTATTGAAAAAATATTTACCAGTTGAAGTGAAGTCTAAAATTCGATGGAAGTGTATTTGCTTTTATCCGCACATTTTCACAAAGGCTACAATTTCTGCCGCCAAATATCCCGTTAGAATTTCAGTATGTTTTCGATGCCAAAAATTTTTCAAGAATTTCTAAACTGCGGTACCGGTTTTATTGAATTAAATAACAGTTCTGAAATAACAAACAGGTATTACTCCATTAACCAAAATAAAACAAAGTACTGGGAATCTCCCCATGAATTTTCTAAAGGTTGGTAATCTTATTTTGAAATTCATACTTATTATCAATTTAATTATTGAAGTATTAAATTGATTTGATGCTAAGATAAAAAAATTACTTGCATCCAATTGAATAAAATATTAAATTTAATCAAAATCAGAATTTAAGTTTTGCATTTTGTTAATATCTTTCTATAAAGTGAAGGCAATAATAGTAGTATTTATAAAAGACGTCTTTACCCTCATTTATCGAAGCATTCGACGTAACCGCCTGCTGCGCCGAGCTGAGACAAGCGACTAATTGATGAGCCAGAAGCATCGCAGTAATTGCTTTTAGAACAACTAGCTAATTAGATTTATTGAAAAGAATTAATATACGTTTATTCCTTTCATTATCTAAATGTTTTAGATAAAATACTTTAAAGAGTACAACAGATATTAGAATCAAGTATTATTAAATTGTGAATGTAGACAAAAAGAAACACGTATCACATCACATCAAGAGATTCGTACAAAAATGCAAACGCTTCTTTTAACAGGAATAGAAAGACATAATTTTTTTTTTAAATTCACAGTGTATCTAGAAATAAATGCATAAGAGGACATTACGCTTTTAAACAACGTTAATGTCTTTTCCTTTGTTCCTGTCTAATATGGATTCAGATCACGTTCTCGGGCCATCACTAGGCATCGCCAGTACAGCCTCTCCTATCTAATTACAGATTCAATAAGGAATACGTATGCATGACATTGTAATATAATAGAAGTTTGATTATTTTCTGGTTATAGATATATATTTTCTAAAGCGAACTTGACGAATAAACTTCCACGAAACGTGCTGAATACCAAACCGAATTAATTGAGAAAAAGGCGTAGCCAGAATAAGAATATATATTTTTTTCTCGATATAAATAGGTCTTTATTTTTAACACATTGTGATACTAAGCCAAAAGATCCTTACTTAAGTACTATATTTCGAAAAATATCAAGCTACGTAAAAAGGAATAAGGAATCTGGGAATATTAAGATGAGATTAATTGTTATAACGCAAACATTAAAAAGCAAACAACTAAACTTTGACATTAATAGTAAGAGATAAAACGAGAATGTAATAACTCGAAAAGAAACTTTTTAGTTACAACACGGAATTCGTCAAATTATGTTGAAGTGGCGATGTCAGAACGTCAACAATACCGCGCAGGAAACCTGACAGGTGCTCCCCAATGGAATCATTGTTGACGCATCGCGTTATTTTTCTTTATTCTCCTAAAGTTTGCTCTCACAATTTCAATTTTCGTTATTCAGAATGCCAATATAGTCAGGTATTTCGGGCAGTTTTATAGGCGTCGATTATTCGATACTTTATTTATATTTTTCTTTTATTTTTGCTTTAGTTTTGTTGTGATTTAAATGAAAATCCCAAAATAATCTTTAACAGATTTAGTAGAAACTAATTCGACTTCAAATTTTCTGTACTAAAGTGTATTAACCACCTTATAATGTCTCTTGGAAAATCTCAAATAAGAAAACGTTTTCATCAATTTACAGAAGAGGTTTAATGCGAAATAACGGGTAAGATAATTTAATTAAAACCTTCTCAATATCCTCGAGCTATTTCATTTTAATCTGTTAAAGGATAACTTTTGAAAGGTTTATTCTGTTTTTCTCTATTGTTCCTATTAAAATTATTATTTCATCAAGTTACTGTATTTTTGATCGAATAAATCTAACTTTTTGTATCTGAATCTTCATTAATATTAAATTACTCCTATCATTTGTATGGTAAGTATTATCAAAACTGAAAATCGTACAGGGAAATACACAAAATCTGTGAATTTCAAAATTTTATCAAACAAGTAATAAAACCTAAAGAACAGACAATAAAAAGCAGATCTCATAATACAAAGTAAAGAACCTACATGAAGTTGCGTAGTAAAAATCAATTCCTATCAGACCGTAGTATATGAAGATGTAAACAAGATAATGATTTTCATGAAGACGCAGACATCGAATGTAATTCTATGAAGGTAGATGAGAACACTGGCACACGTAATGGTGGAATAAAATCCGCGCACCGAATACAAATAGGGGCGAAGATTCGCAGTAGTATTGTACACTCAAAAAAAACCGAGCATAGAACCAAACAATAACAAAGTATGTGCCACGGTTATATAAAACATGACTAAATCATGTCACTCTTTGTTACATTTCTTTTGGAGAACATCAGAATTGTGAGTTGTATAATATCTGTTCCTTAATAACCAACCGAGGTGACAGAAGTTAGAACAATATCGAGGACAACAGCTGGGAAATTATTATTGTGTTAATTTCCTGCTGTTCCCATGTGACTTAATCCGGACAAAATTATAAAAATTTCGTTTTATTTTTTACATTTGTCAAATTATCAATGGCAAATGTCAAAATGACATGACGATGACAAACCATGGCAACCTTGCTTCCTTAATGTTCGCAGCAACTTGTGGTCTCTTTCCCACATTAGGGTTTTATCCAAGATATTTACCCCCTAAGTTTAATGGCGTAAATATATAGCCTAAAGCGTGACGTAAGTGTAGAGCTTTTTATTAAAAAAGAGTTATTCAAAAATATGCTGTGATTGCTGACATCTTAGGCAACAAAGAAGTGTGTGTTTACGTTTTATTATAATAGTATAGATGATGGACGGATTTAAACGTTATTTTTGGAATTCATTAAACACATTGAAATCTATAAAATTGTATGCCATTTAAACGACAATGAAATGAGTACAATAATAATGTATCAAGTAAAGGAAATGCACTAAGAATGGAATGATAGGAGAGACGAAAGTCGTAAATGTAGCATGAAATGTTGTCGGACATTCCAATACGATTGTAAAATTGATATCAATAAAGTAACACAATACGGTGTTATATCGGTGGCCGTTAGCGAAACTCTCAATATTTTCGCTATTGAATTTGCTCAAACACGAATAGAACATTGTTCAAGGTAGAAACTTATACGTGAATTTCTGCACCTTTCTTTGTTGCTTGTATTACCGATGACGTTTGATATTTTGTTATCAAAGGGAGGAAAAGATAGTTAAAAAAGCATGTTCAATATTAAATTTATCTACGCAAAGTTTGGATGGATGTATGTTTGACTCAATGTAACTCGAAATGGATGAAAGGATAAAATTTGGCACCGATGTCAAACATAGTCAAGAAGTTTTGTTTACAGACTCGCGGAAAAATCTAGGACCTTATCAAGCTTAGAATGTAATTTTAGTTTCTTGTAAACATTCCTCTTGAATACAGAGTACAGTAAAATTTTACAAGATGAAAAATTAATAACAATAACTTGTTAATAACTGTATAGATGCAAATAATTGTAAGAACCTTAAACAAATCTTATCCAAATAAATTTACATTGATTACAATTTATCTATTTAAAAGAAGATCAAGTAAATAATTGAACATGCTAATGCTTTTAAGCTTTGAATAAATTTGCTTGCTGCGGATTTTAATGTACAATTTGTTAAAACGCTGCGGCGCTAAACAAGTAGGAAGCAAGGAAAAACCAATTACAATCACAAATCGAGTCCGTTTTGCTTAATGGAAATGAATTTACCTACTTTAGGATTTGCCTTGTGATTGTTGATATTTATTGTCGATATTTTCTGTCGTTTAGAACGACTTGTGTAAATGTATTGTTTTTTATTTCTATTGGTTTCTTATTAAGTTTGTTTGCCTTTCTTTTTGAGCCTATAGTGTTAAAACTTAGATTAAATGTGATCTATTTACTTTAAGTCCTAAGTAAAGTAGAAAGTAACTAGTTTGTTGTATTTTACGATTAGTCTTTAACATGCTTTTTATGCGTTTGGAAATACGTGAGTTCGTAAAATAAATTAAAGTTTACTTTAGGAATAATATATAGAGGATTAAATACTGCTACATTGTTGTTTTTGTTACTTTTTTGATTATTACAAAGTGTAATTAATTGTGAAAATAACTAATCATGGTTTAACTATATTTTTCTCTCTTCGTCATAAAATCTATTGCGTTTTTTCTATAAAGATCATAGTCATGAACTTACATCTTTTCCGTTTAGCAGCCAAGTGAGATTAGCTGGGGGATCTGCTGGCGGTGACGAGCACTGGGCACGAAGGGAATCACCTGACGCATACCAGCCCTTCTCAGCTTTTATTGTTGGTTTATCTGGCGGTAATTCTGCAAAGACATGAAAAAGAAAACTTTAAATTGATTACTAATACTATAAAGCAATTAAGAATGGAATATGTTGTTTCGATGTTAGAACAACAGGGTGCTCATAATGGAATACAAATGCGTTAGTTTATTCATTGAAGAATATTTTGAGACGAATCACTAATTAAATCTAATATGTAATAGTCAAAACCTTAACCTAAAACGGTGTAAAAATCGATAAAAACAAATGAATAATTTAAACACATAATACATTTGCAAAATGATCTATATCTATACGTAACATTATAAAGAGGAAAGATTTGTATGTTTGGATTTTTGTATTAAAATAACTCTAAAACCACAGAGCCGATTTCAAAAATTCTTTCATCGATAGAAAGGTACTTTATCTGGGAGTAATATTTTGAATAGTATTTATTAGTAATTTTATTTTTAAATACACGCGGGCGAAGTCGCGAGCAACATCTAGTAATGAATAATCACATTCAATAATAGCTTTTGTTCTACCCTTAGCGGTTCCTTACGAGTGCTGCATTGAAAACATTCATAATATAATAGAACAAATAACTTAACCCGCATAACTTCTGTACACATTTAACTTAACTGTTTGCGTTGAGAACTTAAGGATTAAGTATAAACTACATGTGTAAACAAACGTGCTCGGTGAAAAGGTCAAAGTATTAGCTTTGCTTGCTCGGAGCGTGTGCAAAGATTTGTTATAATCCTTCAAGGGATTCAAAGAACGAAGCCTTGAGGTGAAGGCAATTATGAAATAACTTCAACAACAAACAATTAACGTGGATATGTCCAACATACATCATACTAATATTATAAATGCGAAAGTTAAGATGGATGGAGGTTTGTTAGAGTTTGTAGCCTTAACGGCTCAACGGATCTCGATGAAATTTTGGTATAGATGTAGAGGATAATCTGGAAAAACACTTAGGTTACCCACTTTTGTTTTTTTTATTTCTACGCGGACGGAGTCGCGGGAAAAACTTAGTTTAAAATAAAATGGGTTAAGTTTGTGAAATTTACGCCCAACAAGAATATAGTTGATTGTTCTTTACTACTGGACGTGAATCCGCCCACCGTTTGTTCAAATTGCTTGTTGCAATTGCAAAACATTGCTTGGCTAGTTAATTTGGTTGACTGTATAAAATTCTGTATAAAATCAAAATTTTATATACAAGAAATGGAAAAATAATATAAACTGAGTAAAATCTTAAAGATTCAATAAAATAAAAATAAAACTGCACTTATTATTATTTTCATAAAATAAAATCACTCACGTTTTAATTATTAGTTTTTGAATCGATATATTCACAAAACGGCGCGGACGCTCGGATGACGTCACGCACGCGTGATGCGTCGCCCGTACTCCGCCGCCCTCGCCTCCTTCTTAACCCCGCCGCGCCTGCGACGCCTAGCGACTGCCCGGGACGCCAAGATTATGGCGCGCAAAATTGTTACTATGCTCCTGACTCTTATTGCGTTATTTTGATAAAATCCAAATCTAATTGATTGGAAATTGTTACCTTTTGAGATAATTTGTATGTTACTCCTGTATGATGGTGCTATTTGAAATATTGCTGCTTCTTAAATCCGGATCGTTTGGAGCATACATAAATGTAAACTAGTACTATTGATTAAATATTCATTATTTGCTGATAAACACACACTATTCACATTAATTGGCAAAATTACATTTGTTAAAATAAAAACGGTACATTGCTTGCTTCACATCTTGCACTCTGATTCGCACCTAAATCCTTGTTTTTTTTAAAATTCAATTTGTGTCTAATGCTTTCTTGGCGGCCAGTACGATTTTAAATATTCATCAACAATATTTTTGTAAATGAATAATTATAATTTTACAATTAACTATCTTATAAAACATGTAACTATTTAATCTAAAGATGTTTTTGCTTTTAAATGAAAATAACTTTAAAAATCTTGTCAGCGCCATCTATTATCAATTATTGGTAAACCACAATCTTCAAATCAAACAGTACTTGAAAATTTTAACTTGAATTGGGGCCTGAAACTATAATCATTGACAGTGAAATTCAACAGATAAATTCACATTAATCACAAAAATAGATTTTTTTTATTATTTTTACAAAAAAAAATTAAAACTGTACTGAAATATGCGCTATTGTGAGCAAGGAACGCAAGTCCTCGAGAATTTCCATATGAGAGCCTTTCGGAACAAATTTGGCCGGATAAGAGGACTTAAGATGGATGTGTAGCGAAACATTCCCCTCAACATTCCGCTTATTCGGTATTATTTATTAGAACGTAAACCAGTATAAAATATTTATTTTGTTCATACAAATTATTGAAGAACTTATCCAGGAAATAATTATGATTTTACAAGAAGCAACATATTCGGGGAGAAGCAATTATTGAATGTTTTTTCAAAATGCTAATTTCTTCCACTCTGTCAACCAAATATTGAAACGAATCTTTAATACTTCACTTTGTAAGCGCCGCTTACAATATGATAGATGTAATTTGTAATATGAAGTTTAGATGTGGTCTTATCATTTTAGACATTGTTACATATATAAATGAAGTTTCAGTATTCAGCCATCTGACTCTTATACTGGTTACAAAGAGATTTGAAATATATAAGGATGCGAAGTTAACACTTCACTTAAAACGTATTTCACATAATTATCACTAACGCTATCTATTGGTACATCTTCAAAACATTAGTCAATAATTGATGTTACATGTCAATAGAGGCGTAATAAACTTGACAACTCTGTCAAAGTACCGGTAAAAAAGTTTGTTTACTATGCCTAGTCTATATACTTCTTTAATATCTGTGACTGGTTACATTTGAAATTCAAGATTACTATTTTACATTTCAATAACATTAAAATTAAATTCATCCCTCGTCTTTTAAACGCTGAAAGTAATATCCATTTGCGGCATAAACCTCATATTTAGTATTTCTCTCAGTGGCTATGGAATAGTAATATGAAATCACAGGTGGCGCCGTAAAAAGGCAGGGGTCGACTTTGTAATTCAAATCCGGCATCGCTAAGTTCCCAACCGGGCTCGGTCGAGGTGAAACTTAGCGCAGAATATAAAGGAGTAAGGGAATCATGCTTCATGAATTACAAGATTTATTGAAGTGAAAAACAAAACACGACTTTTTACTTATATTGGTACAGGGTCAGAAAACTGAACAACCATATGAAGTTAGAAGAAATTAAGAGCGCGCGCAGACCTTGGACTAAACTATCGCGCGACTGTTTAGTCGCTCTTTGAATTTTAGTTGTAACTAAACAACTAAACTGTTGAATGGGTTGTGAAACAATCGACAATCACACAATAGTTGTGAAATAATTTTGTGAAATTTGTAACCTGGCGCATTATAACTGTTCGTTATTGACTAAAAAAACAATACTGAAGAATATCTAAAGCTAATAAAAGTATCTAAGATTACAAATAACAATATCGAAGATTAACAGAAAACAAATTCGACAGACTATAAACATTAAATATTATTCCATCTGTTATTTCAGATTTTCATACGCATCGAGACGAAGCAATATTTACTGAGAGCCGGCAAACAGGCGAGGCGCTCGTTACACTGCTTACAGCTGAGAATATTGACTTTGACGGTTCGTTGACAACGTTTATGCAAATTTGGAAGAGCAAGAAAAAATTCAACGCAGATAATGAGACAGTTGGAGAGACTGTTTATTTTATAAAAGTAACAAGTCAGCGATAATTAGGTACAGTTGAAGATTGTTGTCAATTGACGGTCATATTGTTAACGCCCATAGCCTCATCGAACCATATCCTAGCACAAGCACAAAGCTAAGTTGGCATTCCAACTTAGAGGACATATTAGTAAAAAAAAATATTTCGATAAGGTCGATTTTTTTTAATATAAGGTGGCATTCGAGCACGCGGCTACCTGAATCCACCGAAATGGAAAGCGACCGCTGCCCACAAACATCCGCAATTACAGATGCGTTGAGTACCCTTAATTGACGGAGGTGGAGACGCACATAAAGTGGACATTTCCCCTTTCTATGCGTCTCCTCCACCGTCAAATCCACTCTTACCTCCCATCCTTTCTTATCAAGAAAAGGGTGGAAAGGGAAAGGGACTAAAATTAGGCGTCCGACACGACACTCATCAATCGAAACACGAAATTGATTCCATTTCACGCCTGTCTTCTGTATGGTCGTGGTATAACACCGGGCGAGCCGACCTATTCGTGCGAAGATGTTAAAGCGAGCTCTACCACAGTTAAAAATTTGCAATGACATTATTAATAACAGCTCAATTATAGCTCTAATGGCGACAGCTTGTTGTACGATATTCGATCTTTAGGGCCTGTCCCACCACTGGCTTAGGCTGGCAGAGGCTCAGATAGCTTGAAAGTGACGTCGCTATCTGATAGAGTACCAAAATCCGATACTTCCATTCTACATTTTGTACCGTGTTACAGGATTGTTATCTGACAATTTTCAAGAGTTGTGGGACAAGCCCTAAGTGTCATAGGACAATTCTTAACTTCACAAAGATAGCTGTAAGCACCGACACTCGCATAATACGTTTACTCTTCTACCAAAGGAAATACGTATTTTTTATTCCTTTTTTTATCAATTGTAAGTGTATAAATACGTATAAAGGATATTACGAAATGATATGAAATCATGTTTGCATTATATCACTCGCCCGAGGCCACGGAACATGACAGAACAATAAACAGTGCACGAATCGAAACAGGCTGCGGGAAACGCATGTTATGAAATTAACAATATGTTGATATTTATTCCATATTGTAGCTGAACTAGTTAGTTAAATAAATACATGAGAGAGATCTCATTAATTTACTAGCATAAAACTCTTAAAAAAATATCATAACACTCTAAAGAGAGCGTGCACATATGAAACTAAACCAACGCATTACTGTTTAGTCTCGCTTTGATTCCTATAAGCTTATATAGAGGTGCGCACACTACTCGATTTTTAGT